TGAACCGCCAACTTATCCAGCATATGTTTTACGCAGCGGATGCCCTTCCAGCTGCAACCCATCACTGGGAAAAATCCATGCACTCTTATTTACACACATACACTACAGACAATTTAGCCTACCCAATTCACTCAAACCAGTGGTTCTCAAACTGTGGTGCGTGTACCATTAGTGGTATGCTAGCTTCCTTCTAGTGGTACGCGGAGGAATGAAAAATGTCAAGTACATGCTACATATATTTCAAAATTTATAAAAAAATGATATGAATATGCCATGTATGACATATAGCCCATATTTCTGAGGTAATATTCTGTCATGTTTTTTTAACTGTGCAGAGCTGTAGCTACTGTATTTGTGGTGGTATTTGTAGAGACATTTTTTTTCTGAGGTGGTACTTAATGAAAAAAGTTTGAGAACTACTGACCTATACCACGTTTTTGGACTTGTGGGGGAAACTGAAGCACCTGAAGGACACCCAAGCCAACACGGGGAGAACATGCATACTCCACATAGAAACATCAACTGACACAGCCAAGGCTCGAACCAGCGACCTTTTTGCTGTGAGACAAAAGTGTTACCCACAGTTTTTCTCTGAGCAAGTTTCTGCTAAAACTCATTTTAAAATACAAAAATACAGTATTTTATTGTGATACATTTCTGTCTGCTTTACTTTGTAGCTTATTTTGATACATGTAAAATTGAGGTATTTTATTTTAAATATACACTTCAATGTATATTTGCCCATCCCTGTATACACACAGTTTCAAAATAAAGTAAAATTCATTCATTCTTCATTCATTCATTTTCTTTTCTGCTTTATTAATCTGGGGTTGCCGCAGTGGAATGAACCACCAACTTATCCAGCATATGTTTTACGCAGTGACTGCCCTTCCAGCCACAATCCATCACTGGGGAACACCCATACACACTCATTCACACACATACACTACGGTCCATTTTAGCATATTCAATTCCCCTAAAGCGCATGTGTTTGGACTGTGGGGGAAACCGGAGAACCAAGAGGAAACATGCAAACACGGGGAACATGCAAACTACACACAGAAATGCCAACTGACCCAGCCAAGGCTCAAACCAGTGACCTTCTTGCTGTTAGGCGACAGCGCTACCCTCTGCGCCACCGCATCGGCAGTAAAATTCATAGAAAACCACAATATGTTCTGGCAGAAAATTTGAATTAAGTAAAATTTTAATTTAAAGTGTGGATTATTTCCTGTAACCTTAAAACTAAACTCAACATGTATAATCCACAAAACAACAGTAAACAAATAATTACAGAAACATCCTTTATATTAACACTTTGCATTTATTAAAATGAATGAATGGGTATTATAATAAAAAATAAATCTTAGTTTGAAATGGAATCCATTAAAATTAATTAATAAATATAAACCTGATTATCAGCTCATTCAGTACAATAATGCTTCCATACATGGCTAGCAAATAGTATTTTTTGGCAAATATATAATGCATTAAGTTTGACATCTTTTATTAAAACTGTCTTAAATGCGTAGAATATTTATATGCAATTAATATATTAATCTCCCCGTGTTGGCGTGGGTTTCCTCCGGGTGCTCCGGTTTTTCCCACAGTCCAAAGACATGTGCTATAGTGATTTGAAAGAACTAAATTGGCCGTAGTCTATATGTGTTTATGTGAGAGTGTTTAAATGTTTCCCAGTAGTGGGTTGCAGCTGGAAGGGCATCAGCAGTGTAAAACATAAGATAGCGGCTTATTCATGATGGTAAAAGTGTTTGCATTCGCATTCACTGTTTCCAAATAATCTATTTGGAATGAACAATGATGCAATCACGGAGTGAGGGATGATTTTCTCACAGAATGCCTCATACTGTCTGTGTGTGTGTGTGTGTGTGTGTGTGTGTGTGTGTGTGTGTGTGATTGGGTGTGTGTGTGATTGGGTGTGTGTAGCGGTGAAGATGTTCATGTTCATTTACTGTAACTCAGCTGATCGGTGACCTTTTAGCCACTGTAGACTGACTCACATGCACCTGTTATAACAAACACAGACAACAGTCCTTCAGCAAAAATCAAAGATGAACCCCTGATAAAACATGACAAAAACCACAACATGAAACAGGCGCTTCACACTCCACTAACCCCATGAAGCTGAAGATATACAGCTGAAGTCAAAATTATTTGCCCTCCTTTGAGTTTTTTTTTTTCTTTTTTGAAGTATTTCCCAAATGATGTTTAACAGAGCAAGACATTTTCCACAGTATTTCCGATAATATTTTTACTTCTGGAGAAAGCCTTATTTGTCTTATTTCGGCTAGAATGAAAACATTTTTTAATTTTATTTAAAACCATTTTAAGGTCAATAATATTAGCCCCTTTAAAGGCAACTGTGATGAAAATCATCTTTTGTAAGCTGTTTAGACAGAACTGTGTGTAGGTATAGTGTGTTCACAGTCATATTGGAGTTGATAGAAACACAACAAGTCTCTTTTTTTTATTTCCTGACGTTAAAATAGGTTCTAAATCCCAGTGATTTTGAGGCCCGCCTCGACGTGATGTAGGAGTGCAGCTTTCCCCCCGTACCAAATTAATTGACAGGTGCTATGTCTCTATAATAACATGTACACACATGTCTACAGAACATTTTTTTGCAAAGAAACTGGGATTAAAACATATGTTACAACTCTCTGTGATCATCTCCAACTTAATAATTAATTTTATAAGTTTAAAACGTTTTTCAAACAGAGCATGTTTGTAATAAAGAGAGTAAAATCAGTGTGTAGTTTTTAACTGAAATAAGCACAGCCACATGGTGTCAGTAAACGCGCATATATTTTGTGTGTGTACTGCAAATTGCATTTGTGTGAGACTCATCATTTCAGAAAGGCTTGAATAAACTCCAATACAAATACATGGAGTAAACTTACTTGGAATTTTTGACCATATGTCAGCCTAATCCGAGGCTGTCTATATCACTGATGGCTGTTTATCTGACGTAACACAGGAGAAGCGCACACACATGCCAGAGCCACCTAGTCCTCAAGCAGTGGTGGAAAGAGTACTGAAAACTCATACTCAAGTAAAAGCACCACTTGCCTAAAAATGTAGTGTGAGTAGAGTAACAGTATCTGTTGCAAATATTACTCAAACTATGAGTAAAATGTAGCCCTTTCAAAAGTATTCAAGAGTAGCGAGTAGTGAGTATTAAAAGCTGATGCATTTACATGTAATGTGTGCATGTGTGTAAACGTAACATTCTGTAGTGCATCTAGTTATTGCCCAGCAGGCACACAACGTCATAAGACGTCAATATTAGGTTCGATTTAGCTTGTGATGTCAGGTGACCAAAATTCAATCTAGTCAGAGTCTAAGGACATTGTTATTTTGATTTCAAATAACATCATCAAATGACGTTAATATTTGGTTGATTTTAGGTTGCTAGAAAGTGACCAAAATCCAACGTCGAGCCAACATCTTAAACCAATGTCAATATTGAAGTTAAATACTGACATTTATTCATCAGGAATGGCAACCAAAATCCAATATCTGACAGGCGTCGTAAGGATAACATCCAAAAAAACGTCAAGCTGTAACATCATTAGACGTTGATATTTGGTTGATTTTAGGTTGGATGTTGGACATTGACGTCGGCCTGACGTTGAGTTCTGACGTCAACCCGATTTTCATCCCCAAACAAAATGTAACGTCCCTATGATGTTAGGGTACAACGTCGATCTGACTTCATATTGATGTCCTGTGCCTGCTGGGTGTTTAAGACCATTTCGGTCATCATACAGTAAACATCTGTCATCTTCTCATCAGTGACATGCATCTAATCAGTCTCTGGTTCATTGCATGTAAAGATTTTGGACATCTTCTTAAACACTTTTAATGCTTCCAAACAGTTTGCTGCGATTATAAATGTCTTGAGGTAGTTCATTATGATGTGATTTACCTCTATGTGTAATTTGATTAGACATTAATCACAGGACTGATTTTTCAAATCCCTATAGACAAGAAATAATAAAGTAGTGACTGCAGGTGGAAGGAAAGTAGCGGAGTACAAGTACTGATACTGCACTAAAAATCTACTCAAGAGAAAGTAAAAGTGCACATTTTTAAAACTACTAAGTAAATTACAATTCCTGAGAAAAACTACTCAATTACAGTAATTTAAGCATTTGTAATTAGTTAGTTAATCAATTAGTAATTTGTAATACACCACTGTCCTCAAGACAGTAAAATGGGCAGATTCTAAATTACATAATAAATAATCTGATGGGTTTCCCAGAGATGGGTTGCGGCTGGAAGGGCATCTGCTGCGTAAAAACTTGCTAGATAAGTTGCCGGTTCATTCCGCTGTGACGACCCCGGATTAATAAAGGGACTAAGCCGACAAGAAAATGAATGAATGAATAATCTGATGGATATTTTGAACTGAAACTTTACAGACACATACTGGAGACACCAAAGTCTTATCTTACACCTTGGAAAAGAATAGGTGCCCTTTAAGAAATTTTTTTTTCAATTGGCGACAGAACAAACCTTCAGTCATTCTTCAGTCGTCCGAATTACCATAAATTAGGCCTAATTAATCTAGTAAAGCCTTTAAACATCATTTTAAGCTGAATACTAGTATTCAGAATACTGAAATACTGCATATTTCAGAATACAGAATACTGAAAAATATCTAGTCAAATATTATGTGCTGTCATCATGACAAAGATAAAATAAATCAGTTATTCGAAATGAGTTATTAAAAGTATTATGATTAGAAATTAGTTGAAAAAATATCTTCTTTCCATTAAACAAAAATTGGGGGAAATAATATGCAGGGGGCTAATAATTCAGAGGGCTATGACTCTGACTTCAACGCTATATATGGTTGTTCCACCTTTTGAAGTTGTTGACTTAAAACTGCATGGTTTTGTTTTGGACACGATGCAGATAAATAGAGATGTATTCATGAGGATAATGGCGTGGGTGATTTGTGTTTCTGTTTTTAGGAGCCGCCTATCTGTTGCTGTGGTGACTGTACTGTGATTTTTATCTTCAGTATGAGAAGATGTAATGTCTCTGCTCTGATAGACCCTGGATTATCTCACTCGTCCCGTAAATCTTCAGGTCAGCTCAAAGCACACTTTCTGAAACGGACTCTTGTGCATGTTTAAAATCACTCACTGAGAAGAACCACTTAGTCATTGATATACATTTGGTGAGAAATGTCTCCATAAGCCTTCGCGGATGTGAGAATTAGTTTTGTTCTTTGCATTTGCGCCAAAGTAGGAAAGCTTTATGGTTTTTGTTGATGTGCTGATCTGATTTGTCAGCGTTTTCTCAACAATTGCTTTGCCAGAATGTTTTGTTTTTGAAGTTCTGGATGGTTTCTAGGTGGTTGATTGTGGCCCATTTCTGAAAAGTCTATATCCATATAAAAGTCTTATCTCTCTTTTACTCTAGATACACTGTATGCACCTCTTTTTAGTGTTTATTGGTTGTTGCAAAATCTGATCAATTAAAAAATGTAATTGTACAATCATATAGACGTAGACAAACATTGTTGTCAGTTGAATTAAGTTTGGTACTTCAATACCTTGATTGCAGTGTACACTACACAAATCATATATTCATACTAAAATGACTTCTGAATTATTTCAGTTTCAGTCAACTAAATCTAGAGTAAAAATTTAGTTGACTAAAATATATTTGGTTTAATTTAAGTGTAATTTTCAATGGAAGATGATTTAATCGCATCCCGCAACTACTGTGGTTCAGTTACTTTTCAAATGTTTGTTTGTGTGTGTTTGTGTGTGTGTTTGTGTGTGTGTTTGTGTGTGTGAGTGAGTGAGTGAGTGAGTGAGTGAGTGTGTGTGTGTGTGTGTGTGTGTGTGTGTGTGCGCGTCATGCATCACACACCAAGATTAGTTCTGATTAAATATTTTCCAAAAAACATCCCTCAATCATGTTCTCATCTTGTTTTTATTAGTCAACAAAAAGGTCAGTATATAGTTGTCGTCATCATCACTTAATTTTTATTTAGTTTTGTCGGTAAAAACTTGTTTGTCATGAAAATTATGGCAAATTTTTTTTGTCAACAAAATTAACACTGATATTAATATACAGTTGAAGTCCCCCTGAATCATTAGCCCCTTATTTATTTTTTTCCCCAATTTTTGTTTAACAAAGAGAAGATTTTTTTTAGCACATTTCTAAACATGATAGTTTTAATAACTTATCTCTAATAACTGATTTATTTTATCTTTGCCATGATAACTAAATAATATTTGAGTAGATAATTTTCAAGACACTTCTATACAGCTTAAAGTGACATTTAAAGGCTTAACTAGGTTCATTGGATAAACTACGCAGGTTAGGGTAATTAGGCAAGTTATTGTCCAATGATGGCTTGTTCTGTAGAGTATCGAAAAAAATATATAGCTTAAAGGGGCTGATAATTTTGACCTTTAAATGTCTTTTAAAAAATTTAAAACTGCTTTTATTCTAGCCAAAATAAAACAAGTTTTTCCAGAAGAAAAAATATTATCGGACATATTGTGAAAATTTCCTTGCTATCATTTTGGAAATATAAAAAAATAAATAAATTAAAAAAATCGAAGGGGGGCGAATAATTCTGACTTAAACTGTATATTAGTCATAGCCATACAAGACTACAGCTATACAACAATATACAAAAATACTATACAACAATATATATTTTCTGCAGTTGCTGACATGTCAAAAAAATAATAATAATAAAGTGCAGCTTCATACTGTAAAAACATGTGGATTCAAACTGGTAAGATTTTTATTCATCTTTGATACATGAATACATTTTTCAGTTTTGGGGTTCAATCCATCAAAACTGTGATGTTTCTTAAAAGTATTCCATAAATTAATCAACAAGACTTCTGAAGAGACACACTCTATATGATTTTATTACTAGATATACAGCGGGGAAAATAAGTATTGAACATGTCATGTTTTTTTTTCCTGGGAATAATATTTCTAAAGGAGCTTTTGACATGGAATTGAACCAGATTTTATTAGAAACCCAAACAATAAAAACATAAAAATAAAACAAAACAAAAATACATGAAAAATTAGTTCTGTGTAAGAACAATGTAACGACACAAGGAGAAAGTGCTGAACTACTGAAATGTGTTTAATACTTTATATGAAAGACTTTTTTGATTGACGGCAGCTTAAAGACGTCTCTCATGTGGAGAATGAAACCACAGGTCACAGACTTCAACAGAGTGTCAAAATCTTGATGCTTCTGTCGGTCGCGTCTATCAAATCTGATCTTTATTTTGTATTCTCCATTGGATTCAAGTCAGGTGATTGGCTGGGCCATTCTACAGCTCGATTTTGTAACTGTAACATTTAAAAATAAGTTTTCAGTCACAGTTATCAAGAACTGTTTACTAATTTATTATGAAATGACTGCATTTCGGTCAGTTTTAAAAAATAGGATTGCATAATGTTAAGAATGACTACACTTTAATGTTAAAACGAGGAACGTTTTTTTGGTAGTTGTTTAATGATCATTTATAATGTAGTATTTCTTTTATTTGCTGTTGAACACAAATTGCTTTTTATCATGCTATGACTGAATACATATTAAAATACACATATGTCATCTCCATCCTCATCGGTGGCCATACAAAAGACTGTGTTTTATTTTTTAAAAAATCAGGCTGTATTTTGGGCATTTAAATGCGAAAAGTCCACATGTACATTACTATTTAAATGCAAAATGTATGTGGGGAGAGTTTACGGTAGTCAGTTTACTGATAATTGTGTCATTGTTTAACCCCGCAATTGTGTATGCACAGCATTTAGACTTCATTAAAATTAAATAAATCAATAAATCACACTCAAAACTTACAATAAAATACTATCAGTGCATTTATTGCACTTTCAGGTTCAAATGTGTACTAATAAATATGCAAAACAATGTGGCAAAGCTGAAATTGAACAACGTGAAGATGAACTTTCATTTTTTGGGTGAACTATTCCATCAAGTCCTAAGTTGTCGGTTTGCAAGCATCAATAATACTGAGATTTTTCATTATGCCTCTTATTCCAACTTACCAATTATTTCACCATATTTATTTTGACTTTGACCTTTGGACATGTATGGTCACTGGATTATGAAATTCTTTGCTTATTGTATGGATCACTTCCTTAATTTACTTTCTCACTTTTTCCGCCTTCTCATTTGCTGCGTTCCTGAAAAGGGTATTTCCTTTGTTTCACGATGTTGCAGAGCTTATATCGGTAAGTCTAACATGTGATGTTGATTTTAAAGATGTTGTAATATTTGCACTCAGGAACACTATTAGGAAAAACTAATTAAAGACGTGACAGACTGCTAAATCAAGTCTCATAACTTCATTTTACACTGAAAAAAATGTAATTACCAAAAGTCATGACAAGAAATATTTTTCTGTTGCTTTCACTTAGTTTAATAAGTTAATCAGGTTTCAATAATTAAGGTTATAAAAAAGTTTAACCTAATTTTTTAGTCAGTTGTATTTATGTAAGTTGAGATGACTAGGAAAGTTAACTTGGTTCAACTAAAAAAATTAAGACTTATTTTTTTTTTTACAGTGAAGTTACAAAGAACTGTTAGGAAATTGCTTAATCATAAAGTAAGGGATTACATTCAATTTTTAGGTAATTTATTTACAGTTACAATTAATGTACTTGCCTTTAATACTTTACACTACCTGACAGAATTCTTGTGGTCGATCTCAGTTGTAAGACCAACAAATAATAATTTGACTTCCAGTTGATCATTTGGAAAAGTGACAGAAGGTAATATTTTTTTGTTGAACGGCATCCCAATCATCACAAATACTGCAGAAGACCTACTGGAACCCACATGGACCCAAGATTCTCATAGAAATCTGTCAAGTTTGGTGAAGAAAAAAATCATGGTTTGGGGTTGCATTCAATATGGGGCCGTGCGAGAGATCTGCAGAGTGGATGGCAACATCAACAGCCTGAGGTGTCAAGACATTTGTGCTGCCCATTACACTACAAACCACAGGAGAGGGCAAATTCTCCAGCAGGATAGCGCTCCTTCTCATACTTCAGCCTCCGCATCAAAGCTCCTGAAAGCAAAGAAGGTCAAGGTGCTCCAGGAATGGCCAGCCCAGTCACCAGACATGAACATTATTGAGCATGTCTGGGGTAAGATGAAAGAGGAGGCATTGAAGATGAATCTAAAGAGTCTTGATGAACTCTTATTTGAGTCATTGCAGAGATGTATGGATGCAGTCCTCCAAGCTCATGATGGAGTCAGACACAATATTCATTCTTTTTTCACTGCAGCATGACTTTATATTCTATACTGGACATTATTTCTGTGATGTGACAAGAATTTTGTCTAAGCAAAATCAGACCTTACTGTCTTAATTAAATAATTAAAAATCAAGACATGATCATATTTTATTTTGGTAAAATAAGTGTAATCTAGAGGCCTTTACCTTTCATATTAATCACTGCTGATACCAAATGATCAACTAGAAGTCAAGTTATTATTTGTTGTTCCTAAAACAACAAATAATCCTCAAGAGTTTTGTCAGGTAGTGTATATTCTACATTTCTGTACAAGTCAGATCAGAGAAGCAGAGTAATATACTTTTTATATTATATATATATTAAGTCTATACTACTTGTCTGATGATTGCACAAGCTTAATAAACGAATTGGGTTAAATAAATATAACATGAAAGGGTGGCTCAGTGTTTACTCCCGAGTCCCGGCTTGGTCAGTTGGGATTTCTGTGTGGAGTTTGCATGTTCTGCCCGTGTTGGCGTGGGTTTCCTCCAGGTGCTCCGGTGTTCCCTACAGTCCAAACACATGCGCTATAGGAGAATTGAATGAACTAAATAGGCTGTAGTGTATGAGTGCGTGGGAATGTGAGAGTGTATGGGTGTTTCCCAGTTAGGGTTGTGGCTGGAAGAGCATTCGTTGTGTAAAACATATGCTGAATAAGTTGGTGGTTCATTTCGCTGTAGCAACCTCTGATGAATAAGGGACTAAGCTGAAGGAAAATGAATGAATAAATGGTGTGCATGAAATATGGGGTCATTACTAAAACTTTACATATTTTGATACATGTGATTTTTCTCTTTATTATTTAATGCAGCTAAAATGCCCTGTTTGACTTAAATTTTTTTATATACTTTATTTTTATTTTTATTTTTTTTAAGGAAAAAAATACAAATAATAAATAAAAAATAAAATAAAATAAAATAAATAATACAATAAAACACTGGAACTTAAATGAACAGTTGACCGGTCACATATTTCCTTACAGGTCACATAAACAAATACATAAATAAATCAGATTACGTTGTGTAAAGGCATAAGTACAATCCATTTCTCCCTATATTGCAGGTATTTGTCCATTTGTAGTTTTAAAGAAAAAGTCATCCTCTCCATATTTTGAACATTAGATATGATATCCAACCATTCAGATTTTGTAGGGGGTTCCAGTTGTAGCCACTTTCGAGTTACAGTTTTCTTACTGGTGGCTAGGAGTATTTTTAATAAATACTTGTCTTTTACCATTAAGTTGGATGCAATATTTCCCAGATAAATTGTTGTAAAAGAAAAATCGACATCATCACCAAAATATTTCGTATTACTTGCATTACGTCTTGCCAGTATGGCTGAATGGCTGGGCAACTCCAAAATATGTGAAAGTGGTTTGCCAAGTCTTCTCCGCATTTTCTCCCCTATCCTTTGTTTAACTTAAATTTAAATAATTAAAAGAATTTAATTTGTTTTAAGA